ACGCGGCCGAGCAAAAATCTGTCAAACACCGTACGTAGACGCCTATTTCTCAGTCGGTCCCTCCGCGGTTTTCAAGTCGCCCAACCAGTCTTGCCGTGTCAGTGTTGTGTACCTTTGTTTTCGCCAAATGAGGTTTGGTTTCATCTTTTAACTGAAGCCCGGAGGCCTCTTGATCAGTTTTGCAAATAAAAAGCGTGTTTACGGTCAATAGATTGTTCCGCCGAATGAGTAATTGGATGAATTGAAATGTCGGAGTTTTTGTTAAAGGAATCAGGGAAACCGAAATCTAAAAGATACGAAGTATCTACGTTCATCATTGAAAGTCGGCAGAATATAAATCAAAGTTATTTTAGTATTTTATGATTTAAATATCGCCTAAAGACCTGACTTTTTATAGGTTACTGAGCGAAAATGTTGTAGTTTTATATTTCAGCGACTGATGATCACTCTATAATTCGAACAGTAATAAATTGTTATTGAATGATTGCTTATAATAATACTCCTAACCTCAGGCGAAGAACGCTTCCTTTTTAATTAAAAAAAAAAACAGTTAATGTCTAGCTTTTGTACTGCTGTTACGTTTCCTAGAAATATATTTTTTCTCAACGATTTACAAGTACACCCTTTCGCCAGAAAAAAATTAGAATTGGAAAAGACTGACTAGTTTATCAAAGACGAAACTAACAACTCACGGAAATGCTGAAAAAGAAAGAAAAAATTTCCGGAACTCGCAAAAACTTTATATAACGAACAGTTCTGCCAAACTGTACATATTGATTTTAAATTAAAATTTTTTTTCTCTTCTCGTTTATTCCCAGCATTATTGTCATTACTTTAATTTCACGCCAAACAAATTCTGTCGCTTTTAATCAACATGAAGGAAAAAAAACCATCTCTGAGTTAAGAAAAGAAACGTTTTCCTGTAAGACGTGACTTGAATTTATCTTTATTTCTTCATACCAAAAATTGATTAAACGCTTCACTGGCTCCTGTGCAATTATGTTCTTCCTACCTTTTATATTTTGAGTTATTGAAAATAATCGAATAATCGATGAAAAAAAAAATAAAATTTAGTTCGATTATCTCGATTATAATTTTTAACGTATCGCCTTTTTATCTTACAGGTAAACGCGAGAGATAATATTTCCGTGAATATCTTTTAGTTGCTCATCTTTTCCAAGTTTTTTAATTATATTGCAGCATTCAGTTTTCGCAAACTGGTTGCCCAATTTTTTTGAAGCGGTTGCTTTAAAGGCCATTTCGAGCCAAATTCCGATATGGCAAGTCTAAACAGAATAACCGACTTTGATTTTCCTCTTCCAGAATTGTATGATTAAAAGAAATAAATCAATTTTATGGTTTTTGTTGACTTAAAAGCAATTAAAATTATATTTTTATTGCGGCTGTTGGGGTGTCGTTTGGCGTAAATTCAAAAGGAAATTGCTCATTCACCTTTCCATCAAATATTTGTTGTCTTCATTCAATTTCATTTCATTTCATTCATTTTCGTAATTAAAACTTGATTTTTAGTTTGCGAATTAACCTATAAAAATAACAGAACTTGTAACCCCAAATCGCAGACACAAAATCAGCCTTCTATCAGTGGTATGGCGGCCTCCTATGTATAAAGATTCATAAAATTTAATTTTGATAAACATAGATCTCGTTAAAAGTAATTTTAATGATCCCTTTAAAAGGACAATGTATCAGCTAATATAAAATATTTTCATAAGCTTTTTTGGGAGGCGCTTTATAATAATAATAATTATAATTGTAAAAAAATAAAAATAATAAACGTTATTTATCCACGGTAACCTCTTCAGCATAAAATGATGATATCAATGAGGGCTTTAGAAAAATAATACCTACTAGCCTAAATTACAGCAATGGAACTACAAATACATTTATAAGTTAAAATACAACAATAAAATATCATTTAAAAGCTAAAATACAACAAATAAAAATACTCTTAAAAGCTAGACTGGTAAAAACCTAAAAAGAAACTAAAAAGCTTGTGATCGATAGAGTTCCAAAATACCATAATATTATTTAAAAGTCACAACTGAGTTTAAATCCTTGAATTCCCTTTTTTCAAGTTTTGCCGAGTCATTAAAATAAAAAGACTTCCTTTCAGTTTCTTTTCTAACTTGGGGGAGCAGTAAGTTCTGCCCACTTCCCCTCGCGTTTTGAAATAATCTTTAAAAAACATTAGAGGAGATCCCTAAAAGCATTTGAATGTTAAATCAATAGTGAGCATGCCACGCCTCATAAGCAAGGGAAGCCACTTCTTCTCGACGTCTGAATCTGTGGTCCTCAAAACAATCTTTGTCGCCCTTCTATGTGATCGATCTAACTTATCACGTTTTTCTTTTTCCCAATGCTGCGCTCCATGCAACATCGCAATCATCCATCAGCCGGTAAAACAAGATACTGATAAACCTTATTAGCTGCGTCAACAATTAGGTTGTTTCTTCTTCCGAGGACAACGATTCTTTTGGAAATCTTGCTCAGTACGTAGCTTATCCACGTGCTCTTTGAAATTAATATTTGCATCTAAACACCAATCGGCTAACTCAATGTTGTACCCAATTCAAACCCTTTGGGGATAAAACGTTTTGTTTCAGGAATTTCCATATCTTTTAAATGTGAATGCCACATTATAATGCAAATTCAGCACACAAAGAATCTTAACTCCGGGAGATTAGAATTGGGTACAACATTGAGTTAGCCGAATAGGTCTATTTCAGAAACTCATAACGGGTTGTTCAACCCCTTATGGGTTTCTGGTCTATTTATAATGGTGTACTCGATTTATCGTCTTGTCCCCGAGGAATAAGCTAAATGGCCAATCTGACAAGTTAGCCAAAGACATTCGTTATTGAGTGCCGAAAAGAACGTATTCGGTCTCCGAGGATAAATGCACAGCTTATTAAGTCCAGGACTGCAACTGTTTTAGGTCTTAATTTAGAACGGTAATTATTTTCCCGATGTTGGAGTAAGCATAGAAAAGGACAGCATTGTCCGCATAAAGTAGGATCTGTGACTGAAGTTAACAGTTGGACAAGTCATCGATGTAAATCGAAACAAAATGGGACCAAGTATGGACCCTTGAAGGACGCCAGACTTTCACTGCTGAGATCCAGACTGTGCGCTGCCATAGACAACAGATTCGTAAAATAGATGCAGAAACGACTGCAGAAACCTTTAGCAGAAACCGTTCGCAATAGTAAGGGCATGCGTGGTTGTTTTTCCATTTACTGTGATAGACTCAACTAGAGGCTGATGGTTGAGGTGTAACCGATTTGTTGGGAAGGACTTTCTTCACAGCTTTCCAAAAGTTCTTGGGATCATCTGAATTTTTTTTCTGTGATTCTACGTTTGTAGCTGGATTTCGCCTTTCGAATCATTGTGGTAACCTGGTTTAATAATAATAAGTAATAATAGAAGTCTCTATTGAAACCACTCAGACCACTCCAAGTAACAAATGTATAGTTGGAGCAACAAACAAAAACTAGCTTACAAATTGACACAAAGAAATAAGTATCTATTTACAAAAATACCCTTAAAACGTTCCGTTTGACATGTGGCAGACTGATGTAATTTAAGAATCCTCCTCCGCCAATGTGGCGGCAGCGAATCGCTCCTTTGGTAAGCTTGCCGTAGAAGATTATCCTCTCCAGTGATTGAATCTTCATCTGTGAACCTGTCCCACAGTTTCTTGTCTTTCTGCGAAGCGATGGCCTTATGGAAAAAGGTTTTTCACACAGTTGCCAAGTTTAAAAGTTTTTTTAAATAGCTTATCCACACTACTTAGCTACTTATCAGGTCTAACTCTATACTTTGAGAACGTAAGTGAAAATATTTAAATTACAAAAGCTGGTGAAAAGAAGATAAGTTGATTTTAATAAAGGTAGACTGTAGAACCTACAAACAACGGTAAGATAAACCTGATATACTAATGGCTGCTAGCTTTCGATATTATTCTACAATACGGACATGAAAAAAGAAATAAACCGACCATTTCAATAATCAGTTTTCTACTCGGCGATCTTGTAAAACAGTGAATGAAGTAAACATTTATTATATTTTTAAGAATAATACTGTCGCTACTTAATTTTACACTGAAGATTTTACCAAGTTTAAGTAAAGTTGTATGTATGTACTATACGTTCAAGTGTCTTGAAAACTTCGTTTTCGCTTCAGGCAACTTTCTTTTCCATTCACTGACAAAAACATTAAAAATATAAAATGCATGTTAAGGAAACGGCTTCTAAAAGTCCTCTTACCTTGCATCTGTACATACATTTCAGTTCGTTTCAAAATTGCATTTATTTTTTAGACCGATCATTTCGAAAGAAAATGAGGCTTCATCATAAGATTCAAAAACATACTAACCACATAAATTTCATCAGTAATTGATATACCCTATCGGCAGATTTAACACGCTTAAGTGAATGAGGGAATTGTACGAGCTAAGGACTGTCAGGCCAATATTAGTGAGAGTTAACTTTTTAATCCTGAGAAAACGCCTCTGCTATGAATGCTGGAGAAGGAGTTGACTTCGCCATACAACTTGGTAAAATTACAGTCGACTCTGAAGTTCAAGTAATATATCAAACATGAGATGCAGTGTTTCATCACCAGATGAAACACCGAGAAGAGAGTTGAAAATACGACGCGCAGCGGAGTATTTTTGACGAACTTCGAGGTGTTTCATCTGGTGATGAAACACTGTGTCGAATGTTTGATATTTCTTCTCAAACAAAATCATTTTTGAAGGAGAAATTAAGGATGCAAAAATGAGCAGTTTTTCATCTGATATCCAAACACTCATTAAACATTAATTTCCTTTGAATTTTCTTTATGAATTATTAATGAGTTTGAGAATGATTAATCACCACGTCTTACCTACGAGTATCAGATTTGCGAATAAATAGTATGAGAAAATAATATTGTCTTTATTTCATAGAATAAAAATACATATTCTCTTGTTACAACAACTATTCAGAAAAGAGCCAAATGTTACAAATATATGATGTAGAGGTTCCTCGTGAAATATACTCGTCCACAGACCATGGGCGATTTATTTCCTTTTCGGTGACAGATCGTAAAAACGTTGTCCACTGCGCCTACGAATCTTTTGGGAAGGAAGAAATGTCTAGTACAATAGAAACCAGTAGTCTTCGCAACGCTTCGCTTATCCAACCACCGGACCAAACGTAAAAAAACGCTAATACATTTTATTAGCTGAAAACCTCCTGAATACGACCAAAATTTTCGGGGCTTTGGGTGGTCGTATCAAACAACTACGAGGATAAAAAGAACAGTAGGTCCGACAGCGCTCCGAGCAGAATAGATCCCTCTTTCTCTACACAAGTGCTCAGGTCGAGACGACATAACTCGATAGTTTCCTTTTTTGTGGATAATTAAGACAAGGGTAAAGAAATTCCTAGAAAACAAATTATTTGATCACTACTCTAGCAAACAGTAACAAAGCAATGAACCATGAAGACAAGATGTTATTTATTTACAAACGATCAAGTTTCCCCAAACCTGAGTGTACACAAAAAAGTCGTTTTCTAATAACTTAAAATCATACAGGGATGCGTATGATGGAGAGATATTTACAGTAAAGCAAGTATTTTCTTCAAAAAGTCAACTTTAAACTTTACCCACAAAGGGATCAAGTTCACTTTAACTTTTAACAAACTGGAACATCGCAGCAAAATAAAACGAAGCGACAGATTTTCGAGAGTTGATAGCTTTGTACACGCAACATATCCATGTCACAATAGAGAGCTTGAGTAGACATCTTCGGGAAACAAGTTTGGCGATTTTTCGGCCAGATACCTGCAATAAGTTTAACCAATAAATGAAAATTAAAATTCCTCATATAAGGGGCTCAACTAGAAATCAAATACGCGTCTCGCAGAACCTGGTGAAGCTCAGACGCTTGCTTTCATATTTCGATCCCCCCTCTGATTGCCTGTATTCTGCACGTGAATGAAGAGTACCTACTATCGACATACCTCAACAAGCCAAGTCACAGGCTAAAAAGTTCAGGTTGAGGTTTTGTGTCAAATGTTTAACTGCGTTGTTAATTACGTTTAATTGTATCGGACATGACTTTGCGGTTTGCTCCTACATCAAATTTGCTTTCTTTACCGGCATTTAACGACTAGCTACTTCCTAGATTTAAGTATGATGTCACTGAGATGCCTCTTTTCAAAAAACAAAAAGCAAACAAACAAAACTACCCGGCATGACAATTTGATCTTTGTACGTGTGCTTTTGTACCTTTCTTGTAAACTTTCGGTATATAAGGCAAACTTCGCCAAAATCATGCAAAATGAATGAAGGTTAAACGAATTTCTGACCACCATAAAAAGTACTCAGAACATCTCCAATAAATTTACGGGAAGTGATTGGGACATTTTATAGAATTCCGCAACGTGAACAAGACTTCCCAAACGAATCATTCCTATCCTAGATTTACACAAGAAAAACAAACCATTTGTTTTGTTGGGGCGTTAAAAAATGAATGTTGTGTCCTGAATGTCCTACAATCACGAATTAATGGAAGTACCTACATTCCATTTGTACACTTGAATGGAACAAGACTTGCTACTTCCAACAGAAGATGCCTGTGACCATCCGAGTTAAGATGAGGCTTAAGTATGTTTCAAGGGGCTATTCGTGAAATCTTACTCGCCCTTCAATAAACTCTTCGACTTCATTAATTGTGGTATAGTGATAATTTGCAACATACCTGAGAAATATGTTGATTTGTTCCAGAAGGACCGAGAGATTCTTTTCAGGCATATCTGTCCGTGCAAGCAGCCCAGGAAGTTTAACTAAACAAAACATTGAGCAGACAGTGAATTACGCCGCATTCATTGCTGTGCTCACGCACATTATATTGCAAAAGAACTACTCATAATACCCGCCATGGATGAAAAAAATAATCTGTTAAGTACCTGAACGTACAGCTAGTTAGGTTATGGTATCTTACCAAATAGTCTTAACAAATGCTCAGGACCGTAAACTTGTGAAGGCATTATGTGTGTGGGATCGCTCAGCGATCTTGGGATTGGTGAAGTTGGAAACGCGTTCGATGGTAGGGGAGCTTCAGGGATATTTATCTCTAAATCTTCAATCTCCACCGCTTTCTGTGAAGACAAAAAGGAAATATACACTTAATCAATTTATCAGTTAATTAAAGTAAAACTACGCAGGGAGGTGCGGACGGTACCTTTACCTTTTAGTACCTTTGGAAAAGCCAGTGGTAGAGAAGAATATATTTGTGCATGTATTCACCATGAAGTAACGCTATCTATAGTTCCTACAGTAGTTCAGCCGGATAATAGCCTGTGAACAAGCTCTCTATTTGGGGTTACGCGCGAGCGGCACGCGACAAGAGACGCGAGAGCGAGCAGCGGGCAGAGAAATCGGAAGGTTGCTCGCAGGTTAAACGGGCAATAGCGCTATCTAATGTTGCAAGTTCTTGGATGTTCCAAAGGAAAACAACCAAAAGGTTTTTTCGGTGAAGTTACAATTGACTAAGTGTAACACACAGTAACACGATATTTTGATACTAGTTGCGCGGAAAAATTGACCCAAAAAAATCTAACGGATAACTAGCAAGTCGGAAGGTATGAATATAAGTCCTGTACATAAGAAACCCGTGCAATGGAGGTTGTCTAATACACACGAACTGAGTCGGGTCTTCTGAAATCGAAGTCGACCCGTCTGCCAGAAGTCAGCCCGTGATCCTAAGGGAAAAGAGTGGTGATGACCTCAGTGTAATTGGAGTGGTTCACAAGTATCTTTCAGTTACTCAGGTTGTGGGAGACCACAAGATGGCGAGGAACGGTGGACCCCTACAAGATTTAAGAAGTGGCGTTGTTTAGTGTATCTCACCCGTTTTGCTGGGGGTGCATTGCTTTCTGGGATTGATGAGGTGGATGATACTGTTGCAGACTGGGAAGCCTCAGGGGAAGTTCCTGAATTTCTTGGTATACGGCGACGTAACGAACGTTCGTGCTTCGCTGAAACGTCAAAACAGTAAATTCTCCGTTGTAACAGTTCAAACAGACTTACACATAGTGATCATGAATGATGGAATATGATATACTGGTATATGTGTTACAGGATGGCAGCCATTAGCAATTACTGAATCAGGCTGAGTGTGTTATAAAGAATTATGAAGAATAATGTTGATTGAGGAGGATGTCATTGGCGAATAGCACCCTCTGAGATCTGTATAATTCTTCGATTATAAGAAAGCCGAATTCACTTGTTAAAAGCGTTGTTTCATTATCGTTTGAAAATGTTTCCACAGCATCCTTACCAAGGCCTGTGTAGCCAGGATTACTTCAAAACATACACCACTCCATTAAAAATTGCTGGGCGTAGATACAGTACAACCTCTCTATTTCCGGTCACCTCTCTATTTAATTACCGACCCTTGACATAGTCCCACAGATCCCAATCTTACGGACACCTCTGTAATGAGGGTCACATGGATTTCCCCCTTCCGTCAGTGCCTTCCGTGTCCATATTAAGAACAGGGTCTATAGTAAGAAGGTTTGACAACATGAGCCTAAACCCACAGAGGCGCAAGAAGATGACGATTTGTATTCTCCGAACTCGATCTGAACATAACCTGAAGTTCTGATTAACCCTTAAGTCCCAAGAGGTCAGTAACAACATAAATCTTCTTCTAACAATATCCATACATCATCAAGAAAAAAAAGTTTAGGAGAATTGATAAAATGATCACCAAGGGGAAAATGCTTTCATCTCTTATCAAATTCTTTCAACTAATACTTAAGGAAACATATGGAGATCAGTTTGGAGAATTTGTATGTGGATATAATGGGACTTAAAGGGCTAATTAAAATATAGCTACCTTCTTTTGTTTCAGTTGTACTTGTCAGTGCCTTTGAAAACTCCACCTGCCTGACTGGAGAGCTCTCCGTTGATGAGCTTACAACTCCATATTTATCCTCTGCTGGTGTTTTACCATTGATTTCATCATTATGATGTGTTTCCTTAGCTAATTCTGCTGGATGAGGTACAAGCTTCATCACTGTCTGATATTGCTCACGCTCAAAGTTATACAACAGCAATGTTGGAAGAGTAAAATCAAAGTAGATTCGAAGCCCATCCATAACTTCTTTGATCAAGTTGGAGCTGTAATAAAACAAGAATTGAATAAAAAAAGTGTCAGTAGTACAAATGAAGGATAAGAGGTATGCATGCGCATGATCTGGAGCTTAATGGATGAAGGGATGATCCCAGCTCCTACCTCCTTTCATAAGATAGGGGCGTGAATACCACTCAAATACAACATTATTTCACAGAAGTGCTATGGCCATCTTTAAATAGGACATTCTTGTTCCTTGGAGCTAAACAGCGACTAACTTATTGGTATTCTGCTGGAGAAATATCTGAACATGCTAAAATAAAATATAAAAAATAAATGCATTTTGTTTACCCTCGGCAATATTTACAGCAAAAGGACAATGGGAACTAGCAAATGACTGATTAAGCGGAATCCCAACTGGCAAATGGCAAATCTTAACCAGTTGGCTATTTACAAGCATACCAAAAATATTAAGCTACGAAATAAAATCCGCAGCCAGCAGTCAGGGTAGGAGTTGAACTCCAGATCATAAGGTCGCAAGTCCAGTGCTAAATTCAGGGGCACCCAACGAGAATGTAGTTCAAAACCAGTTAAACATAGCATTGTTGAACATATTTAGATATAGGCGTATTTTTATCCCCTAAACATTTTTCATCTGTTCGGATTTCCTAGCTGAAAGTCTAGTGATCCGAAAATTACAGGGATCAAAACTTACCTTTTCGAAAATTTCAGCCAGAAAAAAGGCTCCCGAAAATTCTAGGTGACCTTTTTAGGGTAAAAATCCGATAAAAATGGGCAATTATACCATTTTTTAGATGTTCGAAAATCCTAGGACAGGCAGGCAAGCAAGAAATTTTACAACAAATGTTTCGAAAATTCTAGATCTTGAAGATCGTCTTCCGAACAGATATTTTCCAAAAATTGATGTTGGGTGCCCCAGTAAATTGACAGTTCAACAATAATGCTACCGCCATTATATTAAGGGATATTACACATCCCAACCTACTGTAGCTTACTGAGGGGTACAACAATGTTTTAGTGTAAGGCCTTATTAGCATAATACAGGTTCCTAAAAGAAAGATAGCCGATAAACATGCACTTATTGTCATACTGTGACTTTTAAAAATTACCATTTCCTAGAGCTGTTTAAAAGCTGTTTTACATGCAGGTACTTAATAATTACTGGAAAAAGCAAAAGCATGTTTACATATTATGTGTAAAATTATGGGGGGGGTGGGGGGTAGGGGGGTGGACTGCTTTGGTTTTGCTGAGATACTTTCCACCACATTCATGAACTTATATGATCCCTTTTAAAAGAGTTATATACTGTATTTCCTAAATAAAATAATTAGGGTAGGTGACAATAATAAAAACAAATAAAACGAAACATATGCCAAGCAGTTATGAGCCCTCAACCTTACTAAGTGTCAAAAAATATTAATTTTCGTAGTAATCAGAGATTAACGTGTGTGTTCGAATTTTCTTAACCCCAGGTTAGCTTTACCTTCAAGTATTTTTCCAAAATAGGATAAAGATCAAGAAAGTTTTTGTAAATCAATTAAAATTCTTCCTATGCTCTACACATCGACGGCTTCATCTTTTAACATGTCTTACTCACCCTCAAGTAGGGTCAATAAAAATTAGAAGTACTAATCGTAAACAAAAATAGACATACCACTACAAACTTTCAAAAGCATGGTAACCTCAAAAGAGGTAATCCCTGGATTTGTGTGTGACACAACAACAAGTTTTAAACATGAACATGGAAGTGAAAGAAACATATAAGGTATGTGCGAGATTACAGATGTCAGCAAACCAAACATCACTACAAAAGAACAAAATCTTTCGCTTTTATGCGAACTGTTTATCTTCAATCAGTCCATGGTCAGTTCATTCTGTCTTAAATGTATTTTGCTCGGGAAGAATGTCTTATCAACAAAATCCTACATGGATATATCAGACAAGGAAATTCTTCAAATGTACTCTATTCCAGAATGATATTCGTGCAAGTGAAAAATAAAACGTCTTACTTTAGAAAGCTGGTTTACTAACTTAGAACAAACGCCACTGAATCGTAGCCAACAGTTACCAGCGCCGTACAAACGACCTATTGACGAGATCAAGCAAAACTAACTACGAGAGAACGACTGGAGAACTGACAATTATTTGACAAACAATAGACGACTGTTTAACTGTGACAATAGACGGATCGAAACGCACCAATTACTGATTACGAGTCTTCATAGACAATAACATCACGGCTTAACTGACAGACGACCAATAACATCGCGACGTAATTGACCAATCAGATCAATAACCAGAGTATAATAACATCAACTGACGTGATACAACTCACTTTGACTCTGAAGATGACTACCGCACAGGTTGTCGAAACGTCAGTCACTGTCAACAACAACAGTCCTATTCAGGACTATGTTCACCCGGACGATCAAACTCAACCTACTTTTGAAATGACTCCTGGGTTCAAACCTTTCGCCAAAATATAACTATAAAAAATAAATAGACCCAATTGCACAGGTAAATTCCTCATTAGAGAGCACAGAAGGCAACAATGTTACCTAGTGTTTATTCGTTTTTTCGAAGTTTCAGCTTGAATTGACCAGTATAACAACTCTTGATCTAACAATGCTGACTGTAACACTGAGAAAGGTGTAGCAGAATCACCAGCTCAGCAATAAAACCCCTTTGAGAACAACTCCAAGTTTCATTCATTAGCCGAACTCAACTGTGCTTTTAACTTTACCTTATTGTCAACCTTGATGGAGCCAGGGTGATGCATGTCCCGATATTAAGTAATTCAAAATGGTGCCGAAAACGCAGACATACTATGAAAAGAACTTGCTGAAAAGGTCAGCCTGAGTACCACTCGACAACCAAATAACACAGGAACCCAAAGATTATGAATTGTGTTCTCCTAATGTTGAATGCAATTATTACGGTTTTAGCCACTGGTACACTTCCCGTCTCTTATGCAAACAGGGCGCCACCATCAGTAATCTCAAATTTATTTCCCCAAAAGTAAAAAATGGTCATTCACATACTAAATATTTAGTTGGATCTCACTTTAATCAAATGAAACAGTCACGGGACAACACTCACCTTTGACCTGGATAAAAGTCCTTACAATGTTGAAAGTATTCACTTAAAAGTTGAGCAACATTTGGAGTTCTAGGAAGTTGTACAAGCTGAAAACAAAATCACTTCTACGTAAGTTTAGTCATAATGCTATACTTATTTATATACTTACTTATACCTAAAAAGTGATCATGGTCTCTAGAACAGAATAATTGCATACACCGTTCCATTGAGTTGTATGATGCTGAAAATAGATTGTACCTCAAAAATTATACAAGCATTAACAATATCTGAATAACTAGTAAAGATTTTGAATAATGAATGAATAAATATGTACATTACGTATACACCCAGAAATATCAAAATCAGGGACGAAAATCTCATGGACAATAATTATTGTCACTTCAGTTCTTTACAAGTGCTATACCTTCTTTTTTCTTTTAATAAAGTAACAATCATCTTCAAGTTTAAGCTTCAGCTGGCTGGGAATTTCAATCTCAATTTTGGGGAGCTCTGGGCTTTCCACCTGCAAGAACAGTGCATCATAATAATAGCTACAGCTAGTATCAAAGATCAACTTTGTGTACAAATCACAAAAAATGCTCTGAAAATGATACACACCACTTACCACTTCTGAGACAGACTTGCTGTCAGGTTTGTTTACATCTGAATCTTTGCTTTCTGAGCCTTGTGTTACCCTTCTTTTCTTTTTTCTTGAGCTGTTAGTGAAGCAACAATAAAAAAGATTGGAATTCACACTAATACAGTGAACCCCGGTATGAACTCAAAATCCCCGCTAACTTGAACTAAGTTCCATTTCCCATGGCTTTCACCCCACTTTCCAGTCATTTTTACAAGGTTAACATAAACTAAGATAACTTGAATTACCTGCTATCTCGAACTAAATTTCCTTTCCCTTGGTCAGAAATTCACTGAAATTTACCCAAGGCAATAACTCGAATTCTGGTCCTTGATCAGATGTCATTCCATCAGCTCTTCTTATTGTATAGTCGATAAAAACACTAAAACTAACACTACAGCAATTTGATTTTCTTTGGTTCAATGAACAGATCACGTTTTATCACAGAAATACCTAATCATGTTATGGATAGTACAATTTCAGACAAACAAATTTTCAGGATTTTTCAAGGACAAATTACAGTTTTCAAGGACTAAGATTTATTTAATAAATCAGCATTCTTTAACCCCCTTTGATCACCCTATTGGCTAAAACATGTCATGGAGTCATTTATGATTTTTAGGGATCGTTCATTTTTTTAACAGGTAGAGGGGCTGGTGAGATTTGAGGGGGGGGGGGGCATGCCAAAAAATATGGCTTTAAAGGGGGGGTCAGGCAAAAAAATAAGGGGAGAAAAGGGGGGGGGGAGCCACCAAAAAAACTTTTTCAACTTTTGCGGGGGTGGAATTCCCGATAATACAATAACCATCCCAAGAGCCTTGTCAATGGGTGTGGAGTGTTGTGTGTTTATGATGTGTGATGTGGGATGTGTGGGAAGGGGGAGTGGGGGGTGGGCAGGGGGGGGGAGGGGGAATAAAAAAAAAGAAAGATAGAGAAGGGGGGAAGGGGAAAAAAGAAAAGGGGGGGGGGGGGGGGGGGGGGGGGGGGGGAGTCACCAAATAAACTCTTTCAAGTTTTGCAGTGATGGCATCTGCGATAACACAAATGACCTACCAGAATGCCAAAAACCAGCATGTCTCATGTTCAGAAACTTCTCTTGCCATTGATGGAACTTAAGCAATCACCGGTTACTTCAGGTAACATGTCTAGTGTTTAATAGTGTTACCTATTGTATAGCACAGCATTGATGTTTGAGTAGTGTAGTGGGTGTTGTATTATAAGTGCATTGGCAACGTTTGATAGTGTTTGCCTAGTGCTGTATATTGTTTAGCTTGTAATGATGTTTTGAGACTATTGCAGTATTAAAGTAATTTGCTGGTCCTTCAATCCCCAGGGAAGGCATAGACCATTTCAAAGTAATAGATCTAAAAATTCTGACATTAGAGGTCAATGTTCCGCCACTTACCATACATTTGTACACTGGTCATAATTATTTTACATTAACAACGTGGTCATCCTCCCTTGGTATACCATCCAATACAGTAAATATTTTGTACATAAATACCTAAGTTTACTAGCTTTTCAGGATTCAAAATTGAAGTTTCTCTTGAGGTTCTCATTCTTATAAACAAACCCCTTATGGCCATTCAAAACTTCTATTTGATCTAACCTCAGCAACCAGAATTTAATTTTTTTTTCATTTTTTTTTTTTGGGGGGAGGGGTCATCTCAATTATTTTGGAGTACAAAGGGACCATCCAAAAAAAATCTCTGATGAAGAGGGGGGGTCATCATATTCTTCAGGGGCTACCCGTCAAACTCCACCAGCTCCCCCTGCCCCTTCTGCAACCCATAAGAAAATGAACGGGCAGTAACTTCTTTTACAGCCACAATTATTACTATTTTATACTACTTTCACAACAAGACTTTGCAAAATGACTGGGTATGACTTGCAATTGCATTTGAGGTACAGAAATAGTATTTGAAATAAAGAAACAGAAATAAAATATTGTTAATGTTTTTACATTACCTGTGAGTTTTACAGGCTCTTTACACCAAGGATGTAACAAATTTTCCTTGACAAAATAATCTAATTTTACAGAAAAAGGTGTCTGGCATACACAAGGTTGTGCATTTCAAGGACTTTTCAAGATGTAATAAAGAAATCAAGTACTTTTCAAGGACCTAAACCGAATTCAAGACTTTTTAAGACGACTAGTAAAATTCAAGACCTTTTCAAGATTGTATGAATCATGTATTAGGAACTCACAATGGCCTAATCTCCAGTTGACTTAATAAACTTAAAAGATAGAACTTTGTGCCTGGTCATTAAAAGGTCAGAGTTCGATTCCCAGTCAAACCGGAAGTTTTTTTCTTTTTCAACCGCTTAGGTTTGTTTAGAAGAAAAAAAAGATGTAAGCTATTTACAAAGTCAGTGAATTTCTGCTAAATATTTTCCCACAAACAGAAAATTTACAGTGTACTATACATACTGAGAGGAGTACACAGCTAAGTAATTTTGATTGGCTGTTTCAAAAAAGTGGGCACTAGACACTATATCATGCTCTCTTTTCTTATTGCTTTACCCAGCAGAATTTATTTACCAGGTGAAAAAAAAAAAGGCCGTGATCTCAGGTTACCACAGGAGGTATTCATTCATGAGAAATATTGTTATATCATGTCTTTTGGCCAGCCTCATTAGTTAAAACTACAGGCAGCTATAACAAAGCTATGTGTATCACTCATCATGAACTTACTTCAATGCTTGTTCATGGAGTCTAGCCATGAGTGACCTGTTGTTCTCTGAGTCCTTCAGAACTTGATCTTCTACAACCCAGCGATCCCAACTGAAAAAAGAATGAAACATGTTCACAGGCATCCAAAAGAGTTGTTACAATCTTTATATTACTTGGACTGATGATTTCCCCCTAAGAAACTATACAGTTTTATAGCCCCATTACTTAACGGCTAGTGTGGTCTAAAAGGACTCCAGTCAAACCCCACTTCATGGACACCTGTTATTATGGACACCTCATTATTATGGACAGTTTGCTTTGTTCCTGGGAAAGGAAAGTTGAAATGATTGTTAATATAAAGGGGTGCACAGTAAAAATTTAGTCAAAACTTTATATTTCTTTGACTTTTTCACAGGTTAAAATATTATAAATGGACTTCTTATAAGCTGGCTTTTCTGATTATAATCAGTGAAGGATTGGTTGAGTCAATCTGGTTATTTCTGATGATTGATTATGAAATTTAGCCAATTCCCAGGACTAATGTCTTACAACACTGTTTTTGGGGCATTATGCTGTCAAAAGAAAACGGGTTCCACAATATGCTGTGGTTATCACTGAGCGATTCCAGAAAATATCCATGCTATACCACGGACAGCTTTTTGGAATTCCGTGTGCAAGGGAGGTTCTTTGAACTGAAAATCTGAAGGCATGGGGGGATACTTACGATTGGAATTCTGAGGGCATGGGGGGCTTTTCGACCTGGAATTTCCACAGGGACAGACAAGAGTGTATTCCTTGAAAACACTTATTTTATGGACTTTATCAGTTTGCAAATAAAGCATGAATTGACGACACTGCTAACAACCGCAGAAGCGGGATGTAAGATGCCATAATTTTTAATTTTTGAAGCTTGTGGGATTGGGAGCAACAGGTGACCCTGAAGACTCCAATTCAAGATAGTGGAAATGCAAATACACTCAAATGAGCTGGAATGTAGGCCCTCGTGAGTAATATCTTCCCGAGTGTATAAAGGTGTAAGTCAATAATATCCATGTATTTTATTAAATCTCAATGCAAAATCTCTTAGGCCCCAATCACATGGTCAGGGTGTTGTATTCGTGCAGTTAAACCTCGATGTGCAGCCACCTCACGTAACCGATCACTTATCCAAAATGCCAAGCATTCCCAGTTAAAGCCTTATGGTTGCAACCTCTTGTTAATCAACCACCTCCTGTAAGTGACTGCGACCACTTTTTGAGGCTGATTTGCGCTTGTGTAGCTGTACCGATTTGGCGCCAAAAATGCAGTCACGAAGGACCTGGCGTCAAATTAGCATTTTTGTATAAATAGGCGTAATGTATTTTTAATTAGACTCGCCTTGCAATCAACCGGACACCTCCGTTGAAAGATAATGTAAAGAGCCGTGTTAAGATGTGTGGATTACCCAACAGAATTGTAAGTAGCATTTCTCTGCGAATATTTCAGCCTTTAAGTGCAATTTCATACTTAAAACGCAAATCTTTTATTTGCTTTGCAGTTTGACTGTTGCCGATTAAGTTACTGTTGGCAACCAGTTCAGAAATAAAGTGGTTATCTGTACATCGTTGTAGCCTTCAAATTTAAGTAACGCTTTGCTACGTAAGCACGAATCAGTGAAAAATTCTATTGGATCGAAGGTTACACTATCAACTGCAGGACAGCATCGTGGTAAAACGACCGGCCTCCAAGAACAACTGACAGCGAAACAAGTGAAGGACCGATCTTGGAATCATTACAGTCATTTAAATTCACGAGAGAAGTGCATCATTTTCCAGAACAACCGACTGCCATAAAGCGAGCGACTGACCATTCTAGAAAATATTTCAATTTACACCTTCACTTTGCAATGCCGCCGAAAGTTGATGTAAAAACCCTCACGGGAAAAATTAACAATGCCGTTGGAATTCTTAATGAGTTGATGGAAGAATTTGAAGCGATTTTTGCAGTAAAATCGGGACTTGAAAGACTCGAAGCAGTGTTCAATTTACTGGAATCGAAGTACAGATCTGTTAAAAAGCAGCAAGAGACGATCTTAGACAAGTTAATCGAAGAAGGCGCTTCATCGGAGGATGAATTGGTGTTAACGAACCGAAAACTCGGGGACAAAGTCAAAGCTGATTTCCTCCAAATCACCTTGAAATTTGCAGCATATCAAAGCGAAAATGCTCTTCCGAAAGGTCCTGACCACACAGAAACCTTGAAAACAATGACCTCTGCAGTTGAGAAAATGGCTGTTGCGATAGGAACAAAACCTAGCAGCCTAGAGCGGTTGACAGTTCCGAACTGGGACGGAAGTCGAAGAACGTATCAAACGTGGAAAAGGGAGTTTAGACACTGTATGGAAAAATATGGACAAGACAAGGACGAGCAACTTCAAAGATTCCGAAAAGCGATGCCCAAAGGCTTCTTCTGGACAGATCAAGTCAAGACCTGTAAAGGCATTAACCAAGCCTGGGAAATTCTTGAAACTGAATTCGCAAATGAGCGAAAACTTATGGACGAACTGTTAGCTGAAATGAATAATCTCAAACATGTTAAACGGGACTCTAAGTCACTCACGCGTTACGCCACGACGATTTCTGTATTTGTCAATGATATGGAAGACAATGGCTGCACCGTGTTGGAGGCGTCAGAAGCTCCGTTCTTCATGTCTCAGCTTTTATCAAAGCTCGATCAAAGAGACAACACAAACTTTGGAAGAGAGATGCAAAGAGCGGGAAAAGAAGAAAATGTGTCAAACCTCGTAACCTGGTTACATCAAGAGGCAACCCTTCGCTCCAGAGGCAAACCAGACAATGAGAACGCCAACGAAAAGGAACGTACCTACCGAGGACCAACCTTTAGAAGAACAGAGAACCACGCTGCTAGCAATGATAGAACTCCTGATCAAGAAGCGTGCCCACTCGGTTGTGCGTGGAAACACCATTTGGCTGCCTGTCCGCTGTATCAAAGTTCAACTGTAAATCAAAGATGGGACGTAGTGAAACAGAGCAAAAGATGCCGCAAATGTCTTAGACCCCATCACATGAACGACTGTAAGAAGCCAGATGGTACTACCTGCGATAAATGCAAAAAGAACCATCACCGTTCTCTGCACAACGAGACCATCAATTCAAATCTAAGCCCAAACGCAGTGCCTTTCCGAATGCAAGATGTTCCTGCAGAAGGCAATACCAACTGTGCCGCTGACCACAAGAAAGATTTCAAGCTCATCACTGGTTTATGTCCTGTTCAAAAGGTCAAAGTTATGGACTCAGGTGGAACGCTTGTTGAAATGCTTGCGATGATAGATTCTGGATCAAACACAAGTCTGCTATCTAAAAACGCAGCTGAACGACTGGGAATAGCCGGGACAGCTACCCATCTTACTATGAACCTAGCAGGTGGAGAGAAGAGGTCTGAAACGTCAGAAATCATTGAGATCACTCTTGCCTCGAGTATCGAAGAGGATATCAGAAAGACCCTGGAAGTATACACCATAAAGAGACCTTGTAGTGCCGCGAAGACGATCTCAAAGGGAACTATTGAACACTTCCCCCATCTCAAACCAATTGCGAACAAACTGCATCTTTCTGGTGGAACAATAGATCTTCTAATTGGTACAGATTTCGTCGATGCCTTCGTCGACATTCATACCTTGTCCGGGGAACCAGGAGAGCCGATTGCCAAACGTAACTGTTTTGGTTGGTACGTTTTAGGACAAGTTAACAGTTCCAGGATACAGTCTGTTGAAGTCGGAACAGTGAGCATTGAAGACGACATTAAGAAACTACTTCATCAGGACACGCTGGGAGTTAAACCAACAGAGCTGTGCACATGTAGTGAGAACGCGCTATGAGAAAACAAGTTCGTCAAATCTCTGTCTAATTCAACCACATTGGTAGATGGAAGAATCCAAGTAAGAATGCCTTGGAACCAGAATGGACCCCCCAAACGTAGCAATTATGACATCGCCTTCAAACGAATGCAGTCTGCCGAGAAATCGTTCCAGAGAAAAGAATGTTTCGCAATCGTAAATGACGAGGTACAAAAGCTGTTAGAACAAGATTTGGTAATGAAAGTTCCTACGGAAGAACTTGATCACGGTCAACCCGAATGGTATCTGCCATTGCAAGCAGTCTTCACACCAGAGAGAACCACTAAGGTCCGCCTTGTTTTCGATGCGTCTTCAAAAGGCCACGACGGTCTTTCCCTTAACGATCACCTTGAAAAAGGACCTAATTACATTAACAGTCTTCCCAATGTACTTATGGCCTGGCGATGGAACGAAGTGGCTTACTCGGGTGATATCTGAAAAATGTTTAATCAAGTCCTAGTGCACCCTGATGATCAAGTCTTTCACAGATTCTTGTGGAGAAGCGACGAAAGTGAAACGCCCTCAGTCTTCTAGTGGCTAAGGTTAAATTTTGGTAACAAGCCAGCACCAGACATCGCCACGAATGCCATTAATTACCTAGCTCAAGTCTCACAAGTCAAATTTCCAGACGCAGCCCAGGAACTTCAAGATCACGCATACGTGGACGATATTGCAGGCTCAAAAAGTAACTTGACAGAAGCCAAGAAAATAATCAAAGAAATTGACACCGTCCTTGGAAAAGGTCAGTTTCAAATTAAGGTGTGGCATTCCAACTGCTCAGAAATTGACCAGTCTAGTGGTGAGAGATTTACAGATCTGCTTGGCCACAAATGGGATAAAGAAGAAGACAAATTTACCTTCAAGAAAGAAAACGTGGTTGGCCTACTGGAGGGTTTCTCCAAAAGAAGCTGTCTGAAGTTTCTCGCTCAACTCTGGGATCCTATCGGACTTGTTTCACCCGTTACTATCAAGTTCAGAATTGACTTGCAGGCATTATGGAGTTCAGGTTACAGCTGGGACGACATCCTTCCCGAGAGTATTCAGCAAACATGGTTAGAGAATGTCCGGTCCATAAATGATCTCCTGTCATTTCAGTTTGACCGCAAGCTAAAACCAAACAACGCAGTGGGCGTGCCTCAAATTCACGGATTCTCCGATGGTGGTGAGCAGGCTTATGGTGCGGTCATCTTCCTACGGTGGAAACTTGCTGGCGGAGACTATCGTTGTGTTCCAGTCACGATAAAGGCTTCGTCGCACCTCTGAAGAAGAAGAGCATCCCGAGATTAGAACTGTTGGGCTGTTTAGCACTTGCACGCATGTACGTTACATGTGTAAAAGCATTGGAGTTCGCAAAAGCCCAGGACTGGGAAAGATTCTTCTGGATAGATTCATCGACCGTTTTGTCCTGGATCAGAACGCCACCACGGGAATTCAGGCCTTTCGTATCTGCTAGAGTGGCTGAAATTCAAGAGACGATTGGGGCAGACCAAATACGCTACATTAAGTCTAACAACAACCATGCAGATGCTCTAACGAGAGGAATCCATCTTAATCATCTCATGAAGTGGTCAGAGGGACCATCCTTCCTAGAGTTGCCAGAAGAAAAGTGGCCCAGCGCTCAAGACCACACCCGAGTTAACACTCATGTGGACGACCTCGACGCTTTAAGAGAGAAGAAAACGTTTCGGAAAGAGAAGAAAGCCGGTAAACATCACAGTGCCGCCGCGGAAGTATGTCCTGAACTAGATCAACCTGGATCTGAAGAAAATCCTATCCTTTTACACTTGCTGAAAACGTGTTCTACGTACTCCAAGATACGGAGAACTCTAGCCTACGTCGGTCGCTTTATTCACAACGCTCGGAAAATGAACCTAAAGTCAGGGCCCATTTCAGTTCAGGAACTGAAGGCTGCCGAGACCCATCTTCTGAAGTGGAGTCAATTTCACGTCAACGAAGACAGCTTGGATAAGAAACTGGTAGCAAAGAAGGCTGAAGATGGCCTTTTTCGTGCGCATGGTCGACTTGAAGATATCAGATGTCTCCCGGAAGAGTTGAGAAAGCCTATTATCTTGCAAAAAGACCACCCTTTTGTGATCTTGCTTCTGCGTGACCTCCACGAACGACGTGGGCATTGTGGCTATAAGAGTTTAATCCACGAGGCCAGAAAAAGATTCTGGATCATTGGACTCCGCAGAATGGCTAAGACCGTCACCTCAAAGTGTGTCATATGCAGAAAACTACGGAAAAGGCCTCTCAACCAGCTCATGGGACAGATTCCAAACCTAAGAGTAGCAGCTGGCTTCCCGGCATTCTCAAACACTGCTATGGATATGTTTGGGCCAGTACAGATCAAGCTCGGCCGCAAAACTCTGAAAGAGGCACAAGTGATCATCTTCGCTTGCATGACATCACGTGCGATTCATCTTGAGCTGGTCACCGATAAAACTTCAGATGCATTCTTAATGGCTTTTCGACGGTTTGCCTGCCTACGCGGACACCCTAATGTTTGCTGGTCAGACCGTGGTACAAATTTCGTGGGTGCCCAAGGTTACCTAAAGGAAATCACGCAGAACTGGGATATTCCTGGGGTAAAGAGTGTCCTCTCTGATAAATTTAGCTGCGAGCTCAGATGGGAATGGAATACACCACATGCGAGTCACCAAAACGGAGTTGTTGAAACCCTAATTAAGTCAGTCAGACAAGCATTTAACGCCACTTGCAAGAACCAAGCCTACTCCGAGGAACAATGGAGAACAATTTTGTCAGAAATCACCTACATGGTCAACGGACGACCGCTGTACCCCAGTTCCGACGATATCTGGGAGGCCCCACCGATCACTCCAAACGACCTACTTCTAGGCCACTACAATCCACCACCACAACCAGAACCAGAGGAAAGAACCAATCCGCGACAATTACTCAGGAGCACCCAAAACAGAGTTGCTGATTTCTGGAGGAGCTGGATGAAGTATTACGCCCCAAACTTGTTACCAAGGAACAAGTGGTTTCGCGTGCGAGATAACACCCAGATCGGTGATCTTGTATTGGAGCTGGATCCCAAACACAAAAGATGTGAATGGAAAGTGGCGCGTATTGTAGGCACATATCCTGGAAACGACGGACTTGTCTGAAAAGTGAGAATCAAGACAAGAGACGGAGAGTACGACAGACCTATTCACAAACTGTGTTTGATTGCGACAAAGGAAGAGCTCAATGCAGGACTACTCTAGTTTAAATTAATTCAAGAACAATGAACAATTGCATGATTCTCCGGTCTTAAATGACAAATCGTTGCTCAATTAGAGCTACTGTAAGCTCTTAATTTCCACACTCGGGTGGAGTGATTTGCGCTTGTGTAGCTGTACCGATTTGGCCCCAAAAATGCAGTCACGAAGGACCTGGCGACGAATTAGCATTTTTGCATAAATAGGCGTAATGTATTTTTAATTAGACTCGCCTTGCAATCAACCGGACACAACCGTTGAAAGATAATGTAAAGAGCCGTGTTAAGATGTGTGGATTACCCAACAGAATTGTAAGCAGTATTTCGCTGCGAATATTTCAGCCTTTAAGTGCAATTTCATACTTAAAACGCAAATCTTTCATTTGCTTTGCAGTTTGACTATTGCCGATTAAGTTACCATTGGCAACCAGTTCAGAAATAAAGTGGTTATCTGTACATCGTTGTAGCCTTCAAATTTAAGTAAAGCTTCGCTACGTAAGCGCGAATCAGGGGCTGATGGTTTTATGATAATTTTCTTTTGTTTTCACCCTTGTAAGCAACCACTAAAAATATTTGCTGTGTGTACTATGATGCTTACAAAACTTTTAGTGTCAACATGGAACAACACATATTGTAACTTATACCCCTCAACTTAGAAATTGCGTGCATTAAACAAGCATCAATCCATAAAGTAGATGAGTCTGACCTCTTCTCGGAAGAAACCATTTGTGATTTGATTCTCGTAAGCAACCACCTCCCATAAGTGACCATTAATAAATTCTTTGCATTTTGAGTGGTTGCTTACAGGAGGTTTGAGTGTATTTCCTGAATATTTGCTGACAATTCATGTTGAGACCAACTGAATCCCCCTCCTGACAAGTTTTGAGATGCAGTGACATGTTAAAAATAATTCAAACTTTGTCCCAACATCATCTCAAAGTTAATTTTACTTGTTCTTTAAATGTTTGAGACATTGCGAGGCTTAAGGTCCAACTGTGCAGTTGTTCCTACTAGGCACAGCAGCGCTAAAGCTGAAGCTGGTTTGTTTTATGGGAAAGCTCAGAAGCCTAAAAAGCTACCTGCATTATGGGAATATTAAGTCTCTTTACACGAATATGTATTTCTGATATCTACCTTCTGTTCCAGCCATTAAAGTGGATAAAATATTCTGGGACTTTCTTTCCTTTGTCATCTTTAGTGATATCAACTTCCAAAACCTAAAAAAGGAAGAACACAACACAAACAACCAAGCAATTCGCATGACATCAACAGACTTCATTAACACAGCAATAATAGTTGTCTAATTGTCACAAATTGAAATCTAATTGACACTTGAGTTTCATTGGTGAACCGTTTCATAATTCACTTTATCATGCTATTTGAATGCAACATTCCTCATTCAGAACAGGTTAACACAATTCGATCCAAGTTAATGTTCTTAAAAAATTGGCGTATCATGATTCTAAGGGTTCAAATATTGAGGATATCGGGTCCATGTGACAGCCAAATTAATTATTATAATTTCTCTTTCTTGTCAGGCAGACTGTGTAAACATGCACTCGTTCTGAAAGCATAAAACTTCGACAGAAAAGAAACATAATGTCGCATAAAACTTCACCTTTGATTCGTAAAGGACTCTGGCCTTATTTGGGTCCGGTTCGTAGCAAAGAACCTTTTCTCCGACCACATATTTCGGCAAAGGATTGCTTCTGGTCTCGCGACCTGTCGCCATCTTTGCATGTTTTTGGTTTTCAGTAAGCCGTACATGAAGTCTTGTTTAACAGCTGATTGCAATGATCGCAGGCGACCGAAGCAGGCGTGAGCATGTGACAAAAAGTTCCCGGTTTCTTTGGAATATGTTCAAAAAGTAAGCAATTATATTGTGTTTCTTTTGTTTATCCTATACAATTGTCTAGATAAAAATTGTTTTTCCTTCCCTCCTCTTTGGTTATACTACAAACGAGTCCAATTTTCTCTTAGGAAAACCCCTTGGTCACATGAAGTTTTAAAGTCACTTGGGATTTGCATGTTTTCAAGAATAATCACGCGTTAGTTTATGGTTTATCACAGATTATAAGAAATTCTTCCGCCTTTTTTTTGACGGAAAGCCACTTTTAAGTGCAAGCCTAATTCAAATACTCGATCTATTTTGTTATTTTGCCGTTAACTGATTTTTCTTACTAAGAGTGTGAATATTTATAGAAATTAACTTTTACTTGGCAAGTTCCATGTAAAATATTTTGTTGACGAGTTGTGGTGTGTTTAAACTGGTTTAAACCAATCTCTCGCACTATGGCCTTGAGTGAAATTTCGCTGAAAAGGACTATATTGGAATTTGTCTCATGAAAAACATTTTCTTCTTTGTGATATATTTCTTTCACGTGTTTTTTTTTTTATCCACCAGATTTCAGGCTGGGGAAGCTGTCTCGGGAGTAAGTCAAGTAAAGTCATCTGTTCAGCGGGCAATAAAGGCCAAACTTGTTGAGCAGTTTCCTCCCATAGAAGATTTCATGGCAGAAATACTTCCTAAAAAAGAGTCTTTAGTGGTGGTGAAATGGTAAGTCCATTGTGGGTCTTCCCTATTTTTAATTTTTATGTTATATCTATTTATGAGAAAGGCCAATAATTGTTGTTTCAAATAAGTTACATTATGAAACGCCGGGGTTACTGACACCCTGTCCACTAAAATACACTTTCAAAAGTATGCGTTTTCATTGTCATTGAAAACAGATTGATCAATTCGCGTCCACAGTACCATTTTGATGCATTTTTGACTGTCCAAACTAAAACATTAAAAAGGGTTAGATCTGCATGTGTGATGTAAGTCAAACTCTATGCACATGCTCGAGTATGCCCAAGTTCAAACCCGGGGGGGGGGGGGGGTATTTTAGGAATTTTTGGGGGGGGAGGGGCCGCTGGGACCCTGGAACCCTTAACCTATACCAGAGCTAGTTCAGCTGATTTTTGCTACCCTATACTAGATTAAACCCCCCAAATCCCCCTTTCTTAGGGTAGCTTTTTCCTTTTTTTAAATAAAATTTTCAACCAACTGATCATTTTCCTGAAAAAGTATCCCCTATTTTAACCCCAAACCCGCTTTTTTATATCCC